CTAAATTAGCCTGTGAACAGGTTCTCTGTTTGGAGATTAAGTTTAGCAGACAACATACCTTCACAGTCTGTTTTTTAGTAAGTGCTTCAGGAGCACTGTATACTGCAGCACCTGGACAAACTGACAAGGTATGCTGCATGAAATTAGCAGCACCATAATCCGACACTTTGCCTCGCCATTGGTCCGCTTGTCGCCATAGCAACACATTGGCGCTGCTGATATCGCGGTGGATGATGGGGCGTGGTTTCTTTTGGTGCAGGTAATTCAATGCGCGAGCCACATCCAGAGAAATAACTGCCACTTCAGCTGTAGAAAGAGATCGCTGCTCCAGCAATTTTCGCAAACTCGTTTCCATGAGCTCTGTCACAAACAAAGGACTTCCTTCATCGTTTGTTGCTCCAATGAATTGCAACAAACAAGGATGGCGGCATTTTGAAGCAATGCTCATTTCCCGCTCAAACATTTCTCTGTTATGAGAGGAAAGGTTCAGAAGCACCTCGTAAATCTGTTTCACGGCAACAGTGCAGCCACAATACTTGCCTTCGACAACACTTCCCCAGCCTCCTTTACCAATGCATTTCTCTGTCAGCTGAATTTGATCTCGTGAAATGACCCAATCAGGTGACTGTTGGCGTGGACGTTCACTTAACGCTTGTTGAGCTGTTTCAAGAGATATTTCCAGTTCATTCACTTCTTGTTCTTTTTCCCTCAGTTGTTCCTCCATGGTGGTAATTTCTTCATCTTTTTCTTGTAGCTGTCTTTGAGCATTTGTCAACTGTTGCGTCAACTCTCCCAGTTGCCCTTGAACATTTGTCAGTTGTTGTGTCGTCTGCCTCAATTCTTCATCTCTCTCCTGTAGTTGCCCTTGAACATTTGTCAGTTGTTGTGTCATCTGCCTCAATTCTCCATCTCTCTCCTGTAGTTGCCCTTGAACATTTGTCAGCTGTTGTGTCGCTTCGCTCAGTTGTCCGTCTCTCTGTCTTAGTTGCTCTTGGACATTTTCCAACTGCTGTCTCAACTCCCTCAATTGTCCTTAAAGAAATAAAGATAGAAGGACGCTATTTTCGGCTTTTTGTCTCACACACTAAAAATAGACAATTTTCTTTAGTCTCACGCTTAATGTAATATCTACAAAGGATCAAAATTAGAGACTGAATCTTCTATAGTTGCCTCATTCTTGAGTTTGATATGATTCCTCTCAATATAAATTAATTTAGACTTCAAGACTTCAAGACTTTATAATAAATTTTCTAAAGAATATTTTTACAAGTGTCCTGGCACCGCAAATAGCTGTAGCTAGTCTAGGCGGGCCAAGAATGATGCGAAAAGAAAATAACTGCAATTAAATTAAGGTAAAAAAAAAAAGTAGAAAGCAAGAGAGATTCATCAGTTTTCAAATAAATATGGAGCGGTTAACTAATTGCAAAAATTGTAATCTTACGAAGAAAAAACATATGAAAAAGATGCATTTAAAACTCTAAGAAAGAAAACAAAACATTAGCTCGCTGTTTTTATAGGCAGGATTACAAAAAATTGGTTCTGCATTCTTCATTTTAAGAATAATTTCATCTATTTCATAATAAGTATCGCCAGTCTCCAGTATATCAAGCAAAGATGCACGAATATTAAATTTGAATTTGTGTTTTGAAAGTGTGCGCAACTTGGTCGGTATCTCATTGCATAATTTGACACCAAATCTCGAGAAACAGTTTTTTTGGACTTCAAGATTCGATTTTTTTGATATAAAAGTTTGGAGATGTAGACGACCTATATAGTGCCGTATGAATGTATACGAGAAAGTGGAAGGAACAATTCCTGAATGTTTGTACGTATTAAGTTGTTTCTCACGTCAGACATTGTTTCCCCTTGTAGCTGATAATAGAGAAAGTTAATTGGTAATATTTTTGTATTGATAAAGAGAGGAATGGCATGATCACGCGGTTTAGCAAAGTGAATAAAGCGAAGAGCGCGTTTCTGAAGGACTAGAAGTTTGTTTAGTTGTGATTTGCTTGTTTGACGCCATGCAATTAGACCGTATCGAAGATAGGGTGCTATCAGAGAGTGATAAATGGAAATAAATGAAATAAGTAATTTATTTAAATTTTAGTCCCAAGGTATCTGATCTTAAGATAATAATGTACATGGTGTGCTGCTTGAATGTTTAATTTTGTTTGGCTCCATATATTTATTTTATTAGGTTATTCAGTCTCCTCTCTTGTTGTCCTCTGAGCCGGACACTCATGGCTGGCCTTATTTTTCTTTTATTTACAAATACAAATTACATTTCTTTTGATGGTTTTTCTGTTTAATTTTTTTGTTCATGCACATTACGTCTAATTGTGAGATGGAGAACAGACCAAATACAATTTTTCGCCTCAACAAATTGGACCATTGGTTAGATTCTCTTACCTGAAGTCTCCTTTGTTTCAGTCTCCTTGTGAGTGTTTTCTTTAAGGTCTCTTCCTGTTCCAGGAGCAAATCCTCCTCCTCCTTTTCTCTTACCAGTTCCACTTCCGATTTTTCCAGCCTTTGTGAAAATGGAAAAGACATGTCCAATCAGAGGACACCAAAACTATTAAGTACGATTAATGGACTTTATCCCTAAACTATCTAGACTTTCTTGTATTCAAAACCACGATCTGTCATGGATCCGTAACGAAAACGCTACGTATGTAGTCTGTAAACAGGCAGTCTATTTGGTGAAAAACAATAGGGTTAAAAAATCGCGAGGAGACGGCGAGGGAAAAAAGGGAAGAGGGAAGTAGTAAAATGCCCTTTCCCCCTCCCTTTAACCTGGCTATGGCAGCGTTTAAATTAATATAATTTTTTATAAATACTTTGACTGATGGGCTTGCAAGCTTTTCAAGGCCTAATAAGTGCTCGTCACTAAACACGATAGAGAGTGAGTTTCATGTGACAGAAAAATGCCATCTGCTTTAGACCGTATGCCGGGCTGGTATATTTTCCTAAGTAGTCGTTCGCGTGGAAATTCAATTATAGCAGGTCGTGTGACGAGGAAACAAGTCGTTTGAACACATGCTGATAAATTATCGACTGAGGCCAAATGCAGTCGCTAAACGGCCTTATATACGGCGAAAGAGATGCACAAAAATGTGGAAGTGCTCTCACTGTTTTACAAGTTACTTCCAATCGAAAGATCGTCAATTGATAGTATTACCCTGACGCCTCTCGGTTTAATTTGTGCTTCGAACTTTCTATCTGAGATACTTTTATTTCGTTTTTGCGAACAAAAATCGAACGGTTCATAACAGTTCTTAAGTCAGTAACTAACACTGGCGCCCGCTTACACCGTAGCTTCCTCTGAGAGCCTGCCGCCTGTACATGCCACTTTCAAACATCATTTTGGCTAAAACAGCTGCATTGCGATGAATTGTTGCATTCGAAAAGAGACGATTTTGTAAATCTGTTCCAGGAGTTCAGATAGAGAAGGGCATACATTAGCGTGACGTAATATGATAAACACAACATAGGGCACGGAAGTAAGCACCCTCTCATTTCGTGACAAAGTTTACTGTAATGATTTCATGGAATTATAATATGTTAACGTTTAAAACTTCCTTACATCTCCGACTTCGACGTTCATCGCACTCAGTCTTCCTTTCTCGGACAGGATCCTACGAGCCTCGTCAGATTCACAGCTGTCCAGTGGTGTTTGACCATTTTCGTTTTCTAGCTTTGGATCTGCACCGATATCTAACAACAACAGCAGCATTTCTCTCAAAATCTCGACTTCCTCCGGCTCTGGCTTAAACTTCACAGCTAGATGGAGAGGAGTGTTTCCCTCGGTGTTAACGGCATTTACATCACACCCTGCATGTAAAATAAGCTTCATGGTCTCAATACAGGGAAGCTTGCACACACTACGCATAGTTTCTTCTTTAAATGAAAAAAATGGTGTGTCATGCCACGCAACTAAGTGCAGTAGAGTATTTCCATCATTCGTTAGAGGGTTTGAAAGCAGGAATCTTTGAAGAAAGTAAATCATGTTGGCGTTTTGACCTTTAACTTTGGTGTATATCACCAAAAGATAGAGAGCATAGTAAAGCGTTTTTTCTTGCTCCTCATTTTCATGCACCTCTTGCGATTTTCCAGACTTCTGTTTTTCTGAACGTTTCTCACTTCCCGCAACCAGTATTTCAAAGGCGTCTTCAATGAAATTTGATCTTAAAAGTTTACCTTTTTGCACCATTACTCCAAATAAAGCTGTAGAGTTTTCAAGATCTTCTGTTATTGCAACATCGCTGTTCATGGCCTTCTCCAACGCCAGTTGCCACAAACCAATACAAAGCTCGTACTCCTCAGAGTCAGCTAAAACAGCTCCCCGGTATCTGATTGGGTGCAGATTTGCTGGATTGTCTGGCCCAAGGATTCTCTCTCTGATTATAAGTCCTTCCATGCCGATAGCATGATCATCACCTTCTAACAGAGAAAGTTCCTGTAAAGTTTGACTCTCTTTCCTATTTTGATAAGCTTCCACAGGTTCCATTTTCTTTTTAAGCAATGGATGTGCCAGGTCTTCATATCTCATCTCCATTCCACGTTTCATGTAACTAAAAGCGTTCTTAATATCACGAGATTTATCATTAGCAATGGTGGCACCAAGAAGTTCAAGAGCATCAATTCTCTGTTCCTTTGTACATTCCGGTCTGTTGATGATATGCTCCACTATTTCAATGGAACATAAATCACAGGCATAAAGAAGAGGTGTTAAACCTCGATTATTTGGCAGTTGTGATGCTCCAAGATCCAAAAGTTGACTGACTAACTCCAAGTGACCCCTTTGAACAGCATCGTGAAGTGCAGTTTTGCCTTGTTTGTCTTGCAGATCCATAATGGCGCCCTTGTCAATAAGATAAGTAGCAACACGTAAGTGGTCACGATAACACGCCGCAATTAAAAGAGTGGACTCGTCATCATATTTGCGTGCATTCACATCTGCCCCGCTCTCAACCAAACATTTGACAATGTCAGGGTGTCCTTCAAAGGCAGCAGCCCTCAATGGAGTCGAACCCGTCGATGTTCTTCCATCCACCTCTGCATTTTGTTCGATTAACAGTTTTACAACATCAAGATGACCAGTAGCAGCAGTGGCCCACAAAGGTGTTGAACCCTCTATAACTTGGTCCTCTATGTTAACTGATCCTCGAGCCTCGATGTCTGCTCCATATCTTAGAAGAATCTTCACAGAATTCAGGTGTCCATTGCGAGCAGCGATGATAAGAGGAGTGGTAATCTGGCTGCCATCTTTAGTTTTTGTTTCCAAAGCGGTTTTTCTTTGTTTAGTTTTGAGCCGCTTTAAAAGATCAGTCAGATCAGAAGAACCGTCACGAGCGGCTTGATAAACTTTAGTTACACTATCATTCACGGATAGCTTATCAGCCATTTAACATTAAACTTCAGCGAACCCGCTCTAGATGGAATTTACTACGTTTCGCTTGAAAGATACTGAATACACTTGGGTAATCAAAATAATTCACAACAAACAGACAGTTTTTGAGGTCATAACCTCGTTTAAGCAGACTCTAATAATTCATTCGCACAGTAAGAATCAGTACGTCCGATCAGATGACTCACGTTTAGTTCAGTCTATCTATTTCGGCGAAATGGTTCGTGTTATTTCATTTCAGCACAGGTCTTCTTATACGAATCATATTCTATATTCTGTTTGAATAAACGCTCAATGGCTTTAAACTGTCATTCGTGATACGCATGATTCCCACCAATTATATACACTCATCACCGTGTCTCGCTAGAAAAGGGAAGTGTCACGGAAGTGTGGAACAAATTTGTTGTTTCAAAGGAGGTAGGGGAGCTCGCTTCATGGGTAGGAAGTCCTAGCTGCGAGTTCCTATAATTTCTGCATTTTTCTCATTATAAACTTACCGATCTAACTCAATCTAACCGTTACAGTTCAGTACCTAGCCCAATCACTGAGGAGCAGTGTTATTAAAACGCTGTGGCTGTATGCCCTGCAGCCGGGAAGTTCCGGGGGGGGAGGGCGGTTACCTGAGTTAATTTTTGCTGGGTATGTGCCGCTGGCCTTCCCCATTATAGTCTATTTTGTGGCCGTTTATTGACCCCACCTTAGTTAGCCTGCGAATGGCAGAAGTTTCTCCTCGCTCATCGCCGAACACAACACTTTTATACCAAAATCAACCAGGAGAAACGTAAAATTGAACAAATTTGCATTTGGAACCCCATGACTACCGGATTTATCATGTAAACATTGATTAACGTCATCAGTATGGAATTTCTGTCGCTGAGTCGCAGACGTTCCTCCTCGTGAAACGTCCCTTAGCCCCGGGGGGGGATACTCGATATATTCCTGGGTGGGGAGGTGCGGCGCGGCCCCTCATACCCTGACCAGTGTTTAAGACAAATATCGCTGATTTTCCTACCCTGTTTAAGACAGAATTCCGATTTTTGATACCCTGTTTAAGACATTTATTCTGTTTATGACAAAAATTGATAAATCGATACCCTGATTAAGACAAAAAATTATAAATTCGATACCCTGTTTAAGACAAAAATCCCGAAAAACATACCCTGGCTGGTCGCACGTCCCCATTAAGCCCTTATAAGGGGGTACCCCCCCGGCCCCTTAGCGGCGATGAGCTAGGAGAGACGTCTGTCGTTCGCAGGCTACATCTTAGTCACTTTTGGGCAAATATGTAATTTTCGCGATCCCAACTTAGTCACTTTTTATGAGTGACCCATTTTTATGAGTGACCCATTTTATGGATTGAATGAAGAACACTTTACTTTTCATCTACAGTACAAAACATTCTGGTACGTTTGCTAACCGTAAATATGAAGAACTGTCTTACCCCCAAATATCCGAAAATGTATAGTCAATTTAGTCGTGAAAATGTGACCCCATCCAGCGGCACATCCCCATTAGCCTATTAAAAGGAAGTCCCCCCCCCCCGGGTGGGGAAGGGTCTTAAAGAAACTAAATGCCCGGCAGTCAGAAAATGTTCTAGAATTTCTGCTAAATCCCTTTTCCTTTTTCTAATCTTTTGAAAGTGTTGTTGGTTTTCACATGACGACACTAAAATTCAAACTACAAAACTATCGATCCTACCGAGATTTTACTTTGACGATGTATTAGAGCAACTGAAAACTAATTTTCATACAAATTTTCGCTTCAAAAGGGTTCTTGGTTTTGTCATAGAGTACGCTTGAATTTCTAAGCTTTTGCGTGACGCGGCATTTACATGTAGGGTAAAAAAAAAATTATTTCAGGGAATTTTGCTATCTAAACAGTTCACCTATTAGAAAAAGTATGTCTTTAATGTTTATGAGTTCCTCGAAGAATGAATTCCCGCTTTTATAGTAAAACTCGGTAACAGATGTTTCTGTTGGTTTCCGTCCGCCATGTTGGAGCCCATCCGAATGAGCACCGGCATGGCGTCTCCATACAAATCTCTATAAATTTGGGTAAAACATTTCTTCGGATATCTCGCATACGAAATATTCCTCTCATCTCAATCTTGGCGAGGGTCTTTGCATATTTACCTCCTTTCATTTCCCAGATTCTGGACTTTATCTATGGAACAGTTTTGATTTTTTATTTTGATCTATTTTGAAAGGGCGTGACCCTGAAAATTAGCAATTCTATCTTCAGTTGGTCTGCTACATAGCCCTTAGTGTCGTCACGCAACGCTCCTCCCCACTAGTTAATGGGGAGAAGCGTTGCGCGACAACACTAAAAACGGCTATGTAGCAGACTAATCTTCAGTAGAATTATTAAGCGATCAGGGAAACAAGAATGGCTTTGCAACTGAGCGGTTACGGTTTCTTGGCCATACAGTAGATGCGACGCCGTTTCGACACAAAAAAGTTGGGAAAATTTTAAAATGTCATGAGAAGCAGAGCGTAACTCACGCGCACGTTTTCATCCAAGCTCAATACCCTGCAGTCTAAAAGTCCTTAGCTAGAGCCAGCTCCAAAATGTACACACTAGCCTAGAGTTAGTGGATCAAGGTTTCCCCGAAACGATAACAAAAATACTGGCAGTGTTTTAATCTAATTTTGAAACTTCATTTTGCAACCTCGAGCACAGGTCACCCAAACTTAATTTAGTATACAATGGGCGATTACCGTATTTATTCGTTTAACCGCCTCGGGCGCTTATTAAATTTTTGGACCTTGAGAGTGGGCGCTTATTCGAGGCTGGGCGCTTATTAAATTTTCACCATTTTCAGCAAGTGAAGGGTACAAAGAAAGCAGCACTTTACAAGATCATTCTTAACCTGTGAAAAGACACCCCCGTTCTTTTTTCGAGGGGAGTAGGTGTCTTTACACAGGCTATCTGTGAATCGCTGACGTTAATCGTGTTCCAGTATACAATGGCATAAATTATTTTTGTTTGTTTTTCCTCTGACAGTCGAAAAGGTGTTGACAGACCACCACACTTTTGTCTAATTTTACTACTCAAGACCGGCACATGAAGCCGGTGTACAGACCCCCCCCTGATGTCTGTACACAGGCTAGCCGCAAAATTATTCGCAATTTCGACGCTGAAATCCAAATATTCTGATCTCTAATTTAGTTTTGATTTCTGTACGTCTTCTGTTTTGTTTACAATAGGCCACCGGCAGAGAATAGATGCACCCACAACCGGTACAGCAATAAAAAACTGATCGGTGGTCTCACTTCACATGCCTATTTCCGGAGAGCCGAAATACAAGTAAACGTAGCACACAGGCTAGGTTTTTCCTAGCCTCCCACGAAGACTTGAGGGATGAAAAACGAGCTTCCCTAAAAAAAACGCCTGCGTGGGAGGCTAAATTTTTCCCGGGGAATCTATTATGACATTCATTCATCAATCACAACACCGGAAAATACTTGCATTACATTCCGAGGAAACGCCATGCAGGCATTTTTAGGGGAGCTCCCCTAAAAACGCCTGCGTGGGAGGCTAGGGGAAACGGGATACGGAAACACGGTTAACGTTTCACAGACTTCTCTCTCCTCGGAGGGGCGTCTGCTACCACCACACTCGCGTACAGAACGCCGAAAATCTGCCAAATCCGCGTAGGACTGGGGAACGGTAACTTTCTTGATTCAATATGGCGTCCGAAGGGAACTCGGTGTTTTCACGAATCATTCGCCGTGAACTTCCCGCTACGTTTCTTCATGAGGATGATCAGGTAAACCAAGAACGATGTGTAACTCGAACTCTAATTCTACACCGACTATACTCGCACCTATAGTTGCACACCTGCAAATTCAACAAACTCAGCCTGCAGTCACTGCACTTGCATAATGGCTGGTGAAAATAAGGTAATCTTGTATTCACCCCCTTTCTCTATGGCTATGGGCACTCGTTCATATTCAAACTCCCAGTGACGTTTTGGTGGGTGGGGGATGGGATAGGGTGAGTGTTAAAATTTGAAATGAGCAGTTTACATTTGTGGTACACACACTTTTTTCAAAAAGATATCTCTTGATGCAAGTTTAAAATACTGGGTCATTAAACGAGGTCTTTGTCTTAAAAAGGGTAGCAAAATGAACCTATTTTGCCTACACTAACCAGATAGACACCGACACAAGAATAAATACAGGGGCCTGTAGGCCCGGGGGGGGGGGGGGGTAGCACTTGGGTTTTTTTTGGATGGGTATGTGGCGCCCGGGACTCCAAATTGGCACCCTGTTCTGAAAAAATTTCCCCTAAAATTGATACCCAGTTCTAGAAATGGGCCAATTTTTTTCTTTTGAGCCCGTCTCCATCTCCCTTGGGTATCTTATGGACTCATTCCAGACTTCCGCGGGAAGATGGCAGAGTCAGCGCTTCCGGCTCGCACCAAATTACGCCCGCCCTGCACGCTAAAACACAGGGTGTCACAAGAGTACAACAGTTTGCTTGTTAACGCATTGAACTGTATTTTTAAAAGCAATCTGTCCTTGAATAATTTCAAATGGCTGCTTATAAAACTGGAGCTTTCGTGCGTTGGAAATATTATACCCTGTTTTCGAGAGCGCCTCTGAAATGGATACCCTATTCTAAATCAGGAGCTTCAAAATCACGACCCCGTTGGGCGGCACATACCCGTATAGGTAATGTATGGGAGTACCCCCGGCCTGTAGGTCAGCAAAAACCTCAAAGCTAGTTTGTTACAAAATTGCCATTAGATTACAAGACCACACTTACTTACAAAACAACCTCTGATAAAAAACAAACCTTGAAAGAAGCTAAGTACAACACTGCCAGATACAAAAACCAAAACCACTTTGTGTAAAAAGGGAATGCACATCCCCGCCTGCTGAAATCAGCTGCAGTTCCGACAACTCAGGGGCAGAGGTACGCAAAAAAACTACCTTATTGGAACTGAATTTCTCGCGTAGTGTATTTCGCAATTTTGACGAGAGTATTTTGCAGAATTTTATTTTTATGATTTTAACAGGCAAATGTGAAAAAGGACATAAAATTTGCGACTTAACCATTCTCAACCTCATTTTATTTTTTCAAAAGTCTGAACCTTTAAAAACTTTTAGATAAACTGCAATAAATAATGCGTGAAATCTTTGCAAACTAAAGTTATTTCAAAAGTGAAGATACAAAAAGGAGCTTACCAGTAAAACTAGTCAGCAATTTGTGTTTGTCCATGCATTTCCTTTATATGTCAATTGTTGCTATTACAAGTTAATTCTTTTTTTGAATTTTCTATATGGGTATAAAATTTCTCATGCTTAAAAATCATGATTATTTATTTTCGCGTTTTTTCTACGATCTCGAAAGACACGAAATTAATTACCAATGTAGCTTCCAAAATGATGACTATAAACAAAATTATATAACAAAATTGGAAAATAAAAAAGTTAGGAGCTCAAATGAATGCTGACCTAGACTGATCCAAATTTGCAAATATGTACAACTAAACATGTCTCAAAAAACTACCCACAATTTCTCCTAGCCAAGCCATTCCTCTGGACTGTGCCGGCAAAATAGCTATTTCTGTCTGTTCTGTTATATACTACACTGTCGTAAATAGCATTTTTTCACTTAAACAGGGTCAGGGTTTGAAGACCTCAGCGGCACAACTATACCCAAACTCGCCTTTTGTGCACCCACCATTACCTGATCACATGTAAAAAGGCCAAAATCTGCAATTACGTATTTTTGATTGGTCCACACACAAAACATCTAGCACAGTTCTGTTCTGACTGGCTTAGAGGTTTTATGTTTTATAGGATTTTGACACTTGTAATTAAATGGTGTTTGAATAAGATGTATCTGATTCATTTGAATAACATCCTCCCCAGGTTTAAAGGTGATGTTATATGGATACATAGACTGATCTGCAATAGCGATTTTTAGCGCAACAAAGCATCGCAATGTTAAAACAGTGTTGCAACCATTTGAAACAATGTTGCAAAACTGTTTGTGCTCCAAATTGTCTTCTCAAATTGTCCTTTGTAACATAACCTTAAGTTTGTATTTTCATTTTTGTGGCTGATAATTTAGTCAAACCACCCATAAGTGACCACTCAAAATGTGAAGAGTTGGTGTTCACTTATCAGAGGTGGTTGTAACCTGAGATCAGGCTCTATTTTCGTTTCGCTTTGAAAATTACATTCCGGCAGGCATGGTAAAATGAAAAGAGAGCCTGATACAAACCTTCTACGAAACGTCTGCCACCCACTTTTTTGATTGATTGACATTCGCCGAATCAGCCAACCAAAATTACTTCCGTTGCTTGTTTTTCTAGTATGCAAATTTTTCACGCGTGGGAAAAATGCAGACTGGCTGACTTAAACAATAGCTTTTATCTGTTAATTTTTTCAGCTAAAAATAAAACAGTCAGCACAATCACATTTAACTTCTTGCGAGATTAAGGGAGATCTCGAAGGTTATTTCTGTTGGCATAGAAGGTAAAAAGTTTTCGAAAAGACAGCGACACGATGTTCTACTAGTTTTATTATTTTGGCTAGTCGTGCTTGAATTTAAAATACTGAAATTTCTATTTTTCTGTTGCCTTAATATTTTCCTCAGCAATTTCCCCCGATTTTCAGTACATAAATCTTTTAAAACAAAAGCAAACAGCCAACAAGCGATGACACCAGTTTTCCTGGTTTATTTTATACAAAAAGCCAAGGGAAACAAGTGCCTACACTGAAAATTCCTTGAATAGCGATGCAATATTTTTCATCGAATACTTCACAGTTCGCGATTGAGGTTTCTTTCGCAGTGAGCCTCCGCTTGCGTAACCCATTCAGAGAAGTCATTCCCGGCTAAACTTTCAAATGAAACCAGTTTTAAGATGGACAGTATTTTGATTTGCACTCGTTTGTTGGTAAATCAAAAGACACCTTGTTAGTGGTCAACAACTTGCAGAGGGATTCAACTCTGCAAAACACTCACGTTAGTTCCCTAAATAAAGCAAATCCTGAGAAGATATGAGCAACCATATGAATTTTCTGAATTTCCATGGCACATATTAAGGCATATTTTCCTACCATAAGACCATAAAACAATAAAAAAGACAGCATAACGGATCATTCACGAAAACAACCACGCAAGGAATAAGCGCTTTCAACTTCCGGCGTTTCCGACAGGCAATCAGATCTTGTGGCATTGTTCTAACAGCCAATCAGCGTCACGGCCAAAATCTGGCCGTAACAAGCACAAACATGAGAGAGTTTTTATCAGGCCCAATTTTAGCGGTAGCCATTAGAGAGAATGTATGAGAACTGCTAAAATTGGGCCTGATCTCAGGTTAAGGTGGTTGCTTATGACAGTCAAACTGCAGGAGGTCCTTTATGAGGAGAAATCTTTAGATAACAATAATATTATATGTAAATCCATGTTGTTTCTAAAAGTTTGTCTATTATGCTGAGTAACATAGTAGATGTAGGGATCGCAAAAAAACAGAACTATACATTACACTAGGTGGTCGCTGCTCAAGAAGAGGTTTAAAAACAGTGGAAAATCTTAAAACCCTCATGCTAAACAATGGTTGCTGTCGCTCATGGAGGCAGTCATTTACAAGAGTTTCCAACCATAAGGCTTTGACTAGGAAAAGTGTGGTGGTTTAGATATTAAAAGTGGTGTTTTATGGGAGGTGTCGCTTATGAGACATGGTCGCACATGGAGCCATGGAGGTTCAACTGTTATATTGAAATAAAACTCTAGATGATATTACCTTATCACAGAAATAATCTTGTGTTAGTTTTTTAAAGAAATGAATGTTCTGAGGTTAATGTATTTAAATGGAGGGTGGCAGGTGGCCTGTGGAAAAAAAATTAGCAGGTGTTCTTTTTCTCCCTCTCTTCTGAAAGAAAGAGTCTTGTCGCAGGTTAACATAGATATTAAATATCATATTCTCCTTCATGCCTTTCCCTCAACTCCACCACTTAACCCCTTTCACAGAGAAATTTAATATAATTACCCTCATACATCCATTATCAACCACAGAGTTGGATAAACTATAAACAGAAATAGCAACAAGAGAGTAGGTACTTTTGATTACAGTCGATTTGATTACTTTATTTTCAGTGCATAGCCATTGAGGACATTAATCCACAAGCCCCTGTTCATTTCCTGGTTATACCAAAGAAACAAATAAGAAAGATAACTGATGCTACAGATGAGGATGAACAAGTATGCACATACCATTTTGTTTGTTTTAAGTACATTTACCTCTTGATTTTTATATGACTGCTGTGTTTAAGAATTAAGGTATTGCTGTTATTGCAAGTTAAATTTACTGTATTATTATTTAATACCCTCAGAGAGCTGTTATCCCAACCAGGAATTTGGGTGAATGTGTGCCATGGGCACCCTGAATCCCTTAGCCTATTAGTATAGTGTCAAACCTTTAAAAAGTTGACACTCATAAGACTAGAGTAATTGCGTTCGTGTTCCCTGTGTGGGTATCTTGGACGGTGTACCACACTATTGACTAGAAACCTACCCCTATCCTGCCTCCTTTATAGTTTCCTATGGGGGAAAGTTTCCCTGGGGGAGTACTTCCCAGTAGTAGGGTAATGGTTATATGTGCTGCTGGATGGGGTCGCATTTTCACAATAGGATTGACTATTATGGAGTTGCATTTTTATAAGTTACTAGAATGAGGTTGCACAATTTCAGGCTTTTGGGGGTCAGAAAATTCAGGTATGAAGGGATTTAAGAATAGAAAGATTTACAGCACATTAAGTTTAATGAATGTGTTAGTTCATTTCAGGGTATCCAGGGTAAAAGGCTTTATAAGGTAGATGCATAAACAGAAAGTGACTAAGTTGGGATTGCGAAAATTACTTTTTTCCCAAAGTGACTAAGATGGGATCTATAATATGGCCATAGAATAGACTATAATGGGGTAGGGATTCTGAGAGGGCAGCGGGACATACCAAGAGCAAAAATTAACCCAAGTAACCCCCTCTCACCTCCACGCTAGTTTCATAGACATAATAGACCTCCCTACAGACAGCTCTGATACCTGCACTCTGCCCAAAGATTTGAGACTTCGTGAGGAAAAGTGGAATAGCAGATCAGCCTAGAAATGGGGAATTCTGGATCCTGTTAACCCGTCCTCTCACTTTCAACTCCTTTTTTGCACCCAGTCACTTTGAGAGAGAAATCTTTATAATGAAAATGTATCAGGGCTGTCATTACTTTTTAGAGCAGCCGTAGCAAATTAAGATTCAACCGTAACTTCTTCCCAGAACTTTGTGGTGTCACCTTTAGCTTTCCGCTTTGATCACCCGTAAAATGAAGTCAGCTCAGCAGTAACAGGTGTTACAGGTTACAGCCCTTAATGACAGCTTTGCGTACATGTATGACTATGTTTTTTTTTTTTCAGCTTCTTGGTCACTGTATGATTGTTGCGAAGAAAGTAGCAGCCCAGAAGAGTATTGACCAGGAAGGCTATCGTGTGGTAATCAATAATGGTCAACATGGCTGTCAGTCTGTCTATCACACTCATTTACACGTTTTAGGAGGGCGAAAGCTCAAGTTACCTCCAGGATGACTAGGTAATATCTAATTTTAATATCTTGAAGTCCACATTATGCTGTTCTTGATATGATGTTCCAGAAAACACTCTTTAAAAACGTCTGCTTACGTGTATAAACTCCCCACTTAAAATAACACCTCCGCAATTATAGGCACATATTCTACCTGAAAAAAAATTTAAAATACATCTGATTATAAGCCCCCCACCCCCCACCCTTACCCCTTCCCTCCAACTGTATTGAGGTGAAAACGATTTATCTTGATGTTTTCAAGCTTTTACAAGCTAGTCAATGTAATACTTATTTTGATCTGCACTACTATAGCTTGTTTTAAAGCGACTTTTCTATTTCGGTTATAAGCCCCCACGGATATAAGTCCCTCTTTTTATAAACTCTCCTAATACCCCTTAAGATGATGTGTAAGCCCAGGGCCTGTAAGCGGCAATTTATGGTAATTACCCATACTCTTCAACAGAAGAGACGCAACGAGACTGCTGACTGGTGGCCATTTTCGACGACTGGGATGTCAACATTCTTGTTGCTTAAGATTGCAATGAAGAAATGCCTTTTTGGCCCCGAGCTAAATGTCTTTCTTGTCCACTGACCTTTAAGATACAACGTTTGAAATCAGGTAATTGGCAATTGTGAAAGAAGAAATATGATGAAAAACTAATCATTATTATTTATTTTTTCTAATTCAAACTCTATGGTCAGGCTATTTTTACTGCATGCGTTTTACAGACTTAAAAGTTGTGAGCTTAAGCAACAACAAAGGCGACGACAACGAGAGCGCTAAAAAAGCAATTGGTCGAGGGTCTGTTTACATGGAGGTGGGGGACCCTAGTTAGGTGAAATAACCCGCCACGTTGAGGTTACCCGCCTGTGCATATAATCTTTCATTTTTTAAATGAGAGTAGAAGAAAATTAACTGCCACAAAATGTTAGTTTTTTGGGGGGATGACGAGGCTGTTAACGCGGGTTATTTTTTACCCCTCTTAATCGGGTTATAACGTCATAGTGACGTTATCGCAGCTCCCTATTAAACGCTCCCTTTAACAAAAGTCATGGTCACCATGGGCGTAGCCCCTTCAGATAGAGGAGAGGAAGAGGGGAGCGAAGTGAAGAACGGGGCTGCCATCCCACCGCTGTTTTTTTTTTTTTTTTTTTTTTTTTGCCTGTTTTTCTTTCTTTGCGTCCCCCCCCCCCCCCGACTATCTGAACCCCTGAAATAGGCTAGTTTAGAATGTTTAGTATCCGAATAGAGAATAACAAAACAGGCTACTTTATAGAATTTATCGGCCTCTCAGTTTATATCAACATAATATTCCATTTGGCAAAATTATTGCAGTAATCGATGAATAACGTCTTTTATGGCGAACTGTGCCCAGATCTTTATCTTATCTGAACTTTTGCGTAATATAAAATTTGCAGTGTGGATAACTCAGACCGACTTGCAGTGGCAAAGTTTTCCAAATAGGTACAACATAATAACGGAACAAGAATTAAAGCCCCGCGGATGAAAAACTGTATTTTATAGTATAAACAGGAATGAAATACTACAGGTAACCCAGGCTCTTTGATAGTACCAAAGTACCAATCCAGTTAAATTACAGTGTTTGTATGGGGTAAAAATACGATCCTAAAATTTTTAGGAAATACCAAATAAAAGTCAATGAAACTTACTCTGCAGTTAGTTGTTGTTGTCCTTGTTTCGTGATAATTTGCTCAAATTCACCCTCCATAAAATATAATACGCAAGATAGGAGGAGGCACGAGATGACATCTCAGCCCCGGGCCCATCGTTCTCATTCCAACACCACGTTTTCCACGAAATTCGATCTCCAACGTAACGCAAAGTAATCACGCTAGGCTTATAGAAATAGGACTTCCTCAGAGATGGAAACCATTGCAGCTTTCCCAGGTAGAGAAACGAATTCAGCAGATTTTGTGAAACTCGAAGAAGAGAATCCAAAAAACTGTAGACCACTGTAAAAAATCAACTCCACCCTGGGTTTCCTCGATGGCTTACTGTACATCACTGGCCTAAAGTAAACCTCCCCAGCTGGTCAAATCTGTTCAAGGGCAATCGCGAGTCACCAAAGCAAAACCCGTGCACAAGCCAAACACGCTTGGAAATTTTGACCTAAAATTCGGCCAACTTTTCGCGGCCGCGCGGAGGATTGGGTCACATGTGAATCCAAAAAAAAAAAATGGCGGCTCAAAGGGAACCTGACCAAGTGGAAGTTATTAGTGGCATTAAAGGAGCATTAAATCGCCAGAAGTCGAATTTTTCCCGGCGGATTTCAAATGTACATAAGCTGAGAGATCTAGATCAAACTTTTCAAGCGCTAGGGAAAGTGGCCGAGGCTGTTGTGAAGGGAAAATACGGTCCCCTTCGGGATCGATATCAGCATGAAATTTGTCCCTTATCTTCCATGTTGGAGCGCACAATGGTACGTGCTAAGAAAGGCATTTATCGCCGACTTAGTCCGCGGATGAATAAAATCCATCCTTGGATGATTTGTTTTGACGTCCCGATGCCACAGGAAGTGTTCAATTTATTGAATAAAGGGGTTGTAAATCTTACACGTTTTGGTGTAGATGTTTTGGAGCAGCCTTATTCAGTCACAATAACATTCTCAAGTATGAAAAGACTGTGTGCCTTATTTAATAAATTTGAGGACTGCCAAGGATTCGCAAAGAAGCTAGGAGTTGGAAAAGGGGAAGTGAACTCATTGTTGATGAAAGGAAGAATGGAATTATGAAATATAAATATAAAGAAGAAATGTTGGAATTGAAATTCCATTATGGCCATTGGAATGCCTTTGGTATCCTTCATCATTGAAGAGGGAACAGTGTTTTCTATACAGTTACTAATGAGTTGAGGTAGCAACATATATATATATATATATATATATATATATATATATGTTGTAGTTAGTTTTTTTTATCTCAAGTAATTTTTTATTTTTCCTTTGTTTCATCTTTATTACCATACCTAAAAACCCTGAGTCGAATACCAATGAAGACAATTGGCAGAAGTCGCATTATCAACTTGGGATCATTTGAGTCACCCTGAATTGCTTTCACTAGATACATAAAGCCATGCAAGATTAGGCGCGAATCGTTACCAGTTAACCTGTAAGTGAAGTCTTTATCTTTAGCTCTATCCTCAAGGAGCCACCTACCTAGTTGTTTTTTCATTCTCCCTGCTTTAACATCTTGTTCCATGGCCTTTAAATACCTGGACATTGCCGAATTGGAGGGCAAATCATCAAGGCTATTTAATTTTTTGGGGAGGTTACTTACAGAAATAGCAAGATCAAGTAACATTGCATGAAAAATTATGTTGGACACCATTATTCTTAAGGTGAAGTGGTTCAACAACTTCCTTGTCACATAGTTTACCAATTAATGGTTTGAATTCTTGTCTGAATTTTTTACAGCAATAAATTGAGTTACTTTGGATCTCTTTGTTGATACTGCTAAATGACTAGGTACTTTTTTCTTGAAATCTTCAACCTGTTTTGCAACATTGATTCTTTCTGCATACTGCCAAGGCTTCCACTTACAATCATGAGATTCTCCATACTTCCCATTCAGTGCATTACAGTCATCTTTGGAGACATTAGCAAAGCTAGAAAAATATTTAGCCGCATTACTTAATTCCCCATTTATATATGCAAGGAGTTTCATATCTCCTGGCAGGAGATCAAAAGAAAAGGTGACATTCTTACCCAATACTGTGTAAGATTTGCTCTCTATTTTTCCATGTCTGTAGCAAGTTTCACTGTAAAACGAGAAACAACCATGTGGTCCTCCTTACAATTAGCTCCAAAAAGCAAAAAATTGTCACTGGGACTAGCTACCCTGGGCCCCACATTCAAAAAACGTATCAGCCATGACATAGATTGATCCCATTTCCCAAAAGGAGCCCCATCACCCCCTATGGCAACCTTAAATGCTCCCTCCCTCTCACTGAACCACACCAGCTTATCCCCAGGTTTCCTGTACTGATCAGTCTCAAAATAGAACTTAGCCAGCAGAAGTAAAAAGTTCTCCAGGTTTCTATAGACCCCATCAACCTGCTGATCAGGTGGAAGGTCATGGCATAGGGTTTCCCTTATTGAATAAAATTCCCCCACATCAATTTCTTCAATTTTTTTCATTAACAACCGATAGGGAAGGAGTTTAGGAATGGGATACCCATACCAAACAAAACTCTTTCTTTTGACACAGAACCTAGTTTCTTGGTGGGTTTCTTAGTATTTTTCATAACAAGAGCTGATCTTGTTTGTTCATATTTTACCTTTTCCATCAATCCTCCTGCATAAAGCATAGAAAGTGAACGAATGACATTATGATCACTTTGCTCATACTGCTTAACCTGAGGTTTTATTACTGCTAGACTAGCTTTTCTCAACTTTTTTGATGAAGAAAAGTATTTAGATAGAGCTGCTGTCTTCGCATATTTAGTCAGCGTAGAAAACATGCCATCCAAGGCTGGGGACCTGTCTTCAACATATCCACCATTTACCTCTGTTGCTGCAACCAACGTTTCAAGTTGTCTTCTGCTGGCACTTCGCTGCGGCACGTTTAGCTTTCCCTCATCAGTGAGCACAGCTGGACTTTTTTTTTTCTTAGAGTGGATGTGTTAGCTGTCACTTCAAAAACTAACCTTCTTTTAGTCTTGACAGCGGGAAGATCAACTTTTACCGAATCAACATTTTCTTTTATGCGAGTTTTCTGAAAGTCCAAGAACATAAGTTAACCCTTTAAGCCCTATGAATGATCAGCATCAAATTTCTCCTTGTAATATAAATACTTTGTTAAACAGAGTGGTCATGAGAATTGCGGACATGATCACACAAGATGAGTTTGCTTGATATTTTATCAACTTCTTCCCACTTCTTCTGTACGAAATGAATGTAGCGAATTTAACTTAGAGAACATTTACTCTGGAGTAAATTTTAGCGGATCGATGGAAAAATCGCAAAAATAAGAACCCGCAAAATTTTCGT